GTTTATGTCCAACATTTCAGTTAAAAGTGATGCAAGAGCACAAAGGGGAGAGAAGTATGGGTAGTTTATCAGTTGCAGCAGAGGTATTTCATTTCAAACTCTTGGAGGGTTTTCTTCCTGACAAAATATTTGTGCCTGGCATGCAATTTAATTAATTTCTGACCACATAAACTTTTTCTTTCAATGTTTAATCCTTCCTCTGTGACAATTTTATTACTTGAATTTTAACTGATAGTTGTCTCCATAATTGCATCAGGTGTTTGAGATAAGCCCATCTTTATTTGTTGTTGAAATAAGAAAGTCATATGGTGATTCTTCTGCATATAGACAGGTAGATATTCTTCTGAATAGTGCACAGCTTGTTTACAGTCCTATCTGCAAGTCCCCCTTCTCTCTCTTATTTCAGGAATTAAAATCAATTTCTTTTGCTATGTGCAGTTGTGTGAAAAGCTATCAAATGATTTAGGTGTTCCCGCAAGCCAAGGGTTGTTGACTAGCCAAGTGTGAAAACCATGTTCTTTGCAAAGTCAAACAACATGGTATTTAAAGCCTTGGAGAGATGTAGATAGTATAGAATCCTATATTACGATTTGTGTAAATTTTCAGTTTTGGATGTATGTCAGTGTTAATATGTAAGACTCGAGTAAATGTGAAATATATTTTTGATTGCAAGAAGATATCCTTGTGAAGAAGTCACCGGTACCAATTGTGTTTATCGTCCCCTGAATCATTTCATACTTTATTTTTTCATCTACGGGGAACGGGAGATTCGAACTTGAGACATCTTCCAACATTAGAAAGACAAAAACCACTAGATAAATAGTCTGAGTAATTTCGTACTTGTAAGGAAAAAACTTGAAAGCTAACACAAATTTTCTAAGCAATCATTATTATTTTCTGACTCAACAACTATTGTCTATGGGGTTTGAATAGATTCATCACACCTCATACGCATTATAGACGTCTGGCTATTTTTTTTGGATCAACAACAGGTTCTAAAACAGTAGGACCTCTTGACAATGATAGCCTACATAAGTATTTTAGCATATACAGTGGAATTGATCTATTTACATGGTGAATGAGAGTAACTACGAATAACCCTTCAACCAGATGCAAGCAAATCTAATTTGCAAGGCTGCTGTCAAGATCTCCACCATGTATCAAGCTTCTGTTGTCTGCACGTTGAAGTTTCTCGGTCAACACGGTCTTGTACTGCTCATCTCTGTGCTTAAAATTGCGCATAAATTCAACCTGCCAGAGATAGGATGACAAATAAGATCATTCAGACA